CCTGAGTGTTTGTCTAAGCTGCTAATTGGACTGCTACAGCAAGCACTGTCTCCCGTGTCCAGTAGTCACTGTGAAGGGCCCAGCAGGTGTTCACAGCACTAGTGAGGGCCAGGATCTACCACAGCATGTCAGGTAGGCAGCCTCCTCTTGCTAACCCCCCAGAACCAGCTGCATCTCACACATGAATGCCATTGGCTCTTCAACATGGATTTCAAATGTGGAAAACACTGGAAGTCAAAACTTAAATGATTTTTTGTGCCAGGCATGGTGGCACATGCCGATGATCCCAGTGACTCTGGGTGCCAAGGCAGCATCTAATGTCAAAATAAAAAAGGCTGAGGGAGATGTAGCCCAGTGGTAAAGCACCCCTGAGTTGAATCCCCAAGTACCCACCCCACCACAAGTTTTCTTGTTAATTTTAGGGAAGCAAATAGGATTCTTTCAAAACCAGAAGTCCTCTTTAAGATAACATGACACTGGGCTGGGGTTGTGGCTCAGCGGTGGAGCACTTGCCTAGCATGTGCAAGGCCCTGGGTTCGATCCTTGGCACCACATAAAAATAAACAAAATAAAGGTATTGTGTACAACTACAACTGAAAAAATAATTTTTTTAAAAAAGATAACATGACACCTAATTTTGTGGAGAACAAGGTAAAGCCAATATGTATTTTAGAAAATATTTAATTTGGTTGGAATACTTTTAACTCCTGGAGTTCTAATTCGGAAGAGGAAGATAGCATTTTCCTGCTCTTCTTACATTTTCCTGTGCTGCCCAGACACCACCTTTTATCTGGCAGGCTTGGCACAATGATGCCTGGGTCTTATTCTCTATAAAAGATTTTATAGTCGCTCTATCTATCCTGAAAACAAAATTAGAAAACATGGACCATAGTGTCGAGTCATAACGCAGATTTTGTGCTTAGCTAAAACGGCCCAGGAGCCTTGCTAGAGCCAGCAGGTCCAGTGAACTCTGAGCAGAGGTCCATGCTGAGCTGTAGATGTGACATACAGGGACAGTGTATTTGTTTCTCTTTTACAAATGTGCAATTTGTGGCAATGCCTTTCTTTTCTGAGCTCTTATCTTTTTGCACTTTCTTGTGTGCTTTTAAAACAGGATTGTTTGAAAGTTTTATTTCCCAAAAAACAAAAACATAAAATTTTAAACTTAGTTCTAGATTTCCTTGAAGAGAAAATAAGTATTTTCAAAATCATTACTTTTAAAAACAAAAGATAAAAATTTGTTTCTGGAAGGCCTATTTGCAAGCTCATTTCTGAAGTCCTGACAAGTGTCTTCAGGTATTTGAAGAAATGGTTTTAATATTCTCTGAAAGCTTTGAGTCTGGCAGATTGGAGAAATTGTCTTACTTTGATAAATTCAAATCGGATAAATTCAAAATTAAGACTCTGGACATCATAAAAAAGGAATTTTATGTACAATGAAAGCCAGCATCTTGGAGACAATGTTTGCTTGATGGGAAAAACCATAAATATTCCTATGTAAAATGCTGACTTGGAAATAACTTTAATGCAATGAATGGTCATTGAAACAATAACTACAATACATTCAGCATTGAGCCAAAAAGAAATAAATTAATTTTTTAAAAAACTACCTTTACTGTTTAGAATCAAAGTTGAATTTTCAAAAAATAAAGCAAATGGATAAAAGCAATATCAAATATTGTAACCTGGAAGATGTAATGTCAATTATGATCAATAAATTTCATATTGATAAATAAATTTTCATATTGATAAATACATTTCTTCATTGTCTGGCAATGCTCATTCATCTTTCGGAGATGTCTGTTTTATGATGTAGTTTGGGGGTGTGGTATCAATGACAGAGCCTTAAAGACAGCATCCGTGACCCAGGTCCATTTGACCTATTCTTCCCTTTCCTACTAGGAGGAGGTGACATGAAAGTCATTGTCATATTAAAGTTTGGTGCTGGCCTGTGGGTGAGCTTGAGACTCTGATGCCACTAAAGCTTAGTCAAGATGACTGGACTGCAGGGTTGGGCCCCAATTTTCTGAGGCTTTGGGGGATCATTTTTAATCTTGGCTCTTAATCCTTTCCAGGCTCAGAACTCTGTACCCAGGTGGGAAGACACCAGGGAGGAAAGTGCAGAGATGATCATATAGCTTGTTGAATTTCGTAGCCCATATGCTCAGGGAGCCTGGGCAGCAAGTGACAGTTAAGCACTTTGAAGGAAGTGGGTTTCTGCCAGTCCCTGGGAGAGGCCTGATCTGCTTTCATGGGACATTAAGTGAAGGGAGATTTACATCTGCCATCAGGGATGCCTGAGGAGGTCCTGGCACTTCTCAGCACTTCTTTTTGCCTCATATCTGTCCTGGGCTTAGAGATGAGGACCTAGGTTCACCTTTTGAAGCTCCCAGAATGTTAGAAACATTATCTTTCCCGGTTTTCCTTGGAGTTGTCCCACAGGTTTTCCCTAGTGGGACATTTTTTTTTTCCCACTGTTGGGACAACATTCCTGATTATTTTCTTTCCTCAGTTTTATCATTTCACTTCTTCCACGAAGGTCGGCCCAGATAACCCACATCATCTTGAGAAAGAATGCATTTCTACTTAAATCACTATGTTTTGAAGTGCTTTGTTATGTGATTAGAACATCCTCTATCACAGGACAGGATAGTCATGAAAATACCAAACCATTTTCCATATCTCTCTTCTGTCAGTCTCCTTTCCTTCTTTTCATATGAAATATAGGTTTATTGATGACAATGAGGACTAAATCCCTGGAGTCATAACTGTTAGGGAAGTTTGAAAGCATCTACATTGTAGAAACCACTCTTTTCCCCTCCCTGACGCCTGCTCCTGCCATGTACCAGTATACTTTCTGGTACATGCTCAATGTGCACAATTCACCGGCCAGGAAGGGGCTCTGGCAACAAAACACATCCAGGGTAATTCTCCTTGAAGATGATGGCAGTGAGGAAGGGGCTGGGACTTAGTGCCAGGAAGGTGAGAGGAAAACTGGTTTCTTCCTTTCTCCTGGCACCAATCCTTCCCAAGGTCCCTCCCTGAGACATGATTAGTTGTTTCTCTTTCTATTACTATTTCCACTTTCCCCCAAGGTATTTAGTGTCCTTCTCTACCCTGAAAAAGATACTGAAGAATCCCCTTCCCACAAGTTCAATGAGACAAGGTTTGAGTTTTTCAAAAGGAACATTTACTAGGAAACTAAAGGGCAACCAAACAGAATGCAAGAGAACAGAGGCAGAGTTGCAAATGGGCTGAAGGAGTTCAAATTTATAACCAGACTCTGGCCACAGCTGTACTGGCTGGGCAGAGCTTTCCAGACACAAAATACCTACCATATGGGTAGTCACATTTGCCTGATTGCCCCTACAACGCCACCATGTTTCATACCAACAAGCCAGTAGCATACTCATTAGGACCTCAGGGCTGCTAGGTCTGGGCAGGAAGATGCTGAGGTGGAAACAATAGGCACAGCTGGCTCTCCAACCCAGGCTCCCATTGCCAAGGGCATGCCAAAGTGGAATGGGATGACCACTGCCAGCTATTGGAGACAGTCTGGTTTCTTTGGGATCATACCTTCGGGCTCTTCTGCCTAGATCTAGTGACAATATTTCTGTGCACTCTCTTGCTGGCACTAGCCCTTCGTGCTTTGGTTCTAAACACTGCTATGGTGGAAGATGCTAAGGTGGGAGGGATGAGCTGAGGAGAACCTTGGGCAAAGAGAGATGAATTTTTCTCATGTCTTTAGACATAGGCAGGACTGGGATTCCCTTTGAAGCCCAAGGTTGAAAGATAATGATATGGAAATGAATTAGGCAGGTTGGGGAATGCATGAAGCTTGAGTGTATTAATACTGCCTCACACCCCAAAGGCCTCCACCATTTTTTTGATTTGATATCAGGATACATACATCTTGACATCTTGTACCAGGCAGCCAAGGTAATAAGAATTTCTGAGGATATGCAATGATCCTGCTTCTGCCCAGCTGGTCCCACATCAAAATGTTAATTGAAATGAAGATAATGCATTTTCCAGTAAGATAAACTACAATCCAATTCTGGAATCTGCTGCAAAGAGACTGTATGAAAAGGGAGATGTTATCTTGAAGTCATGGTGCAAATGCATGGATAAGGTGCCTTGTACCCATAATGAAAGAGGACTGTTAGGTAACAGCCCCCTGGTCCTGCCAGGGTATGCTGAGGCCTTTGGTTTCATTTCTGTGGAGGCAGAAGCAATAATGATGGGGCGCATAGCTGGTAGCAGATTGGCAAAAGGGAAGCTGAATAATGGAAGAGTTACCCGGGGAGAGCCCTTGACCTTCACTCCTATAGGTATTTCCATTCCCCAAGTGCTATGGAAATGATATGTGTCTGAAGTGAGAAGAAAACCCGTGTCTGTGGCTGTCCAAGGCTAGGCTCTGAGCTTCTGCATATGGAGATACCCCGGAAGGCACTCAGGCCAAGGAGGCCCAAAGCTGTGCCTTCCCCCAGGGAACCGCTGTGAGATCTCCATGATCTTATTTCACACAATGCTCTACCTACTTCTGAGGCTGTTCCCTCACTGGACAAATGTGCCTGGGAAAAGATATTCCAGAATGCATATGACCTGAGAGGTATACCTCTCTAATAGAGATGACAATTAAATTTGATTCTAATAACACTACCAATTGAAAGGAAGTGACTTGGTTACTTAAAAATAATGTTGTAGAATCTCAAAACTCAGAATCCGGTTTTGGCATAAAAGAGGGCCATGATCAACTGGTAGTCTGCCATGTACACGGGAGGAGGCAGTGAATTTTCTGCAAACTAATCCTCTTTATACTAGATTCTTCTCCAGGGGAGTGGCCTGCTTATCCTATTATTCTCTGGGGGCTATTCTTTGTGAAGCTGGAGTACTCCTGAAGGTAAAATTAAGTCTCCAAAGACAGTTGTTAGCTAGGGTAGGTAGTAGAGTTTGAATTGAGATCTGCTGCTAGCACCTGGATATATTTTTAAATATTTTATCCTTCCAGGGCATTCAAGCAAATAATCATGTCAGAGTGACCACTGCCATAGCAGGTGCTATGTTCCCATCACCAGGGGCTTTATATCAATCACTGAGAGTCCTGATACTCTTGGGACTCTCACTATGTCAACTTGCTTTCTTCCATAGTCCAATCTTGGTTCTTGGCAATGAGAGACAAGCTTCCCCTGTAGTTCATCACCATGGGCCACCCGAAGAAAGTGGCTGGACTATTCAGGTTCACCAAATCCAAATAGCAAAGATGGCCAGTTATTGCTGTGTTTACAGCTGAACATTTGGTCACTGGAGTCATCCGGGTGTTGCTGGATGGAAAAAGTTACTTAAGATCTTTTTTTTAAGAGGTTGTCCTACTGTGCCTTGGGTCAAGCAGTTCTTTAATTCATAGTCATCGTTTCTGTAGGAAGAAGAAACAAAAAGAGTGATTTGGTTTTCAATTTTACATTTTTAGTGTGTACCAAACAAGTGCCAGGCATTATGAGGGAAGCTGGGAATACAAAGACCATGGGTAAGATAATTGCCCTGATTTCAAAGCACTCAGAGGGAGAAGTGAATAACAGGTGAACATATGCTGCTATAGAGACTTGAGGGGACTGAGGAGGTCTACTGGGAGGATTCTGAAGGATGAGTCTTGAGCTGTGCCATTTAGGCTGAAAAAAAAAAAAGAGTCCATCAGGAGATGGGGGGCAAGAACTTTAGGCAAAGAAGAGAGCCCAGGCAAAAGCATATAAGGCCTGGTACATTTTGGAATCGTCAAAATTTAGGTGACTGCACTGTTTGTGAGGAGTGGAATGGCAGCAAGCAAGGCTGAACTGGAGGAAGGGGTCTGAGTGGTGCAATATCGCAACATTTATTCCTTGTTTTGAGGGGTAGGCTTTCTTAGTAGAGTCCCAGATTTAGATTAGCAGGATATCTTGTGTTGTACACTAATCTCAGCATTCAATTGAAATACAACTCATCTTCCAGGACAGATTAAGGTTGCTAATTCTGTAGTCATAGAGACAAAGAAAGGTAAATTTCCATGGATATAGTAATAACAAAAATATTACTCACAAACTATGGGAGAGAAGCAAATATTCTCAAACTGAAGTATATGGACTGCATTTCAGAGATCAAAGGTTCACACATAGGGATATAACTTAAGGAAAATAATAAAAGCCAGAGTGTACACTGTAGAGGGAAAGGGCATGCTTTACTATGTCCTTGGCTTTGAAGTGTGTGAATGAGTGTGTATATATACACCCACACATCTCTGAGAAAAGGGGTATTTGATTCCGTATATAGCAGGAAAAGGTGAAAGGATATTTGTTTTAATATTATGATTTAAACATAAGTTTCCCAGAGAGGGTGCTACTCTGCAGTGCCCGCCAAAGAGCTGTTTTCCATCCTACCCCTCACATTGGACCTGGGTACATAGTCCCTTGCCCAGGTGTGAGACCCATCCTTGAAGGCCCTGTTTGCTGGTGCCTGAGTCCCATTAGCGAAGGCAAGAGTCAACAGCGTCAGCCCCACCAATGTATGAAGTCTGGAATTAGGTGTGTTGCTATTAGCCCAATGGGCTCTGTGTACCATTCCTTCATTTTTGAGTGCCCACTGTGTGCCAGGTACTAGGATATGAACTTTACAAATCCTTAAAAGAACCCAGTGAGGTTCTTTACTGGAGGATACAGAGATGTAGAGAGATTAATTTACACAAAGCCATATCATGAATAAGTGTCAGACTTGGGATATAAACCCAAGTCTTCTAATTTTGAAGTCCAAGCTTTAGCAATTACATCATTCCTAAACACACTCTGTATGCCCAATCTCCACATCTGATGCATTTAAACGGTTTTATCTGCCTCGTCTTTTTAGACACTAAATCTAGATGTGTAATGTGCCTTGAAGATCCAAGCCAGTATCATATAGCAGGTGTCACATCCCTCATATAGCTTCCTAGCTTCTCATTTAGTTCCTCTAGATTTCCCTGGTTGGCAACTTGCATGTACATCTCATTTTACCCCTTAGTTCTATATAAAATCTCTTTATTCCCTGTTATGACCTTAGCTTCACCAATTCTTTTAGACTGCTTTGGGTACAACTCTTCCAAAGTACCCAGGCCTGCAGAGTACTGGGTTTTGTTAATGGCTTTGCCTTAAGTCTGATTAGTGAGCTGGGCTATGACTGCAACCAATTTTTACCACTCCCCATACCCAGGGATACCACCAGCAGAGGCCATGTAGTTGATGACCAAATCAGAACACTGCTCCAACTGGACCTCTATGGTAGTGTTTTACTTATTTGACAAATTTCCTTGTGCATTCAATTAGCGAGAATCAAGAACAGCCTCTAGAAAAATTGTGAGTGGCCTACTGGTCTTTCCATTCTTCAGGTGAAGCC